GCTCTGGTGTGACAAATTTGTAGTGCACCAGGTGGTAGAGCTGCTTCAAGGGCTTGGTACAGAGCGCGCAATAATTGGAATGATTCATCAGGCGTCTCAGTGCCCAGTAGCCCCGCCGCCTGTCCACCGCCAGTGGCAGAATCGGTGCATATGGTTGTAGATATAGAATGATTCAAGCCTAGCCGCCACATGGCTGCTGCAATCAGAGCAGAACGCTCAGCCATATCCGATCCTATGCGCTGGATACCAGTGTATGCAGCACCAAGCGGATCGTAACGGACCGGCTGTGCGGTCCAGCCCAGCAAGCAAGTCTGTGAACTGCTGTCGCTGATGTACTTCTCTCCAACTACGACGAAAGCCCACGTATCTGGATGCCCGAGGGAATCTGCGTGAAGGGGTGCTAATCTGCGCATCTGTGGTAGTGAAGAGCCATCAGTGAATATCAGCAACCTGTCGTACTGATCAAGTTCAATCAGACTTGTCATGGGTCTGCAGGGCATCTCGGCAAGGACTTGTTGACATTCTTCTGGAACTGTCAATTCTGTGAAATCATGACATAGTACTCCATCGGTGGAGCCAAATAGATGACGCAAGTCATTCACATCAAAGGCAGTATGCAGTTGGCATCGATTGTCCAGTTCTTCAACTTCTTGAAGCACAACGAGAGGGCGATTTGTGCTACTCTGACTGCACCTTGCTGGCCATGCGCTTCTTGTGCGTTGTTTTGGCAGTCTTGGTTGAATTTCTGGCTCTCTGTGATGAAACTGAACCTGAATCCAATGTGATGACAAATGCTGAACTTCAAGAATGACAGCTCTTGGGTAGCCCAGGCTGCAAAGTAAGGCCATCAGTTTTACCTCTTCCAGCTCTGTGGTGGAGCTATGTGCAAAACATCCATTTTCATCCGCAACGTCGTCGTGGCAGAACATGTACTGATATTGTTGGTCTTGCTGCGTTGAGATAGCCTCATCAACACAGAGCATGATATTGCGGAAGGGACATGCAAAGACCTCACATCTGTGCCCCCAGTGGGACAGTTCCTCCTGTACCTGTGCTGCTGTGCCCGGCATCGGTATTTCAAGAGGATTGGGCAGGCCTCTGTGGCTTGTACGGTCAAGAAGCCGGACTGCTGTCGTGGCTTGACCAGATGGCAACAATTCATCAAGGTAGATCACCTGCTTGGCCGTGAAGACTTGTAAAAGGCTTCCTCCATCATCTTCTTCCCATGCATTCATGTGTGCTTGTTGTGCTCCCATAGAATTGGCATACTGAGTGTTCTGTAGGTGTTGAAGGACTTGAATGATGATGACAATTCCAACTCCATGTCGGTTACGAAGTGCAATCTGTCCTTCAATTTGTAGATCACCATGCCAAACCATGCACTGCAGTGAAGAAAGCTCCGGATAACAGCGATCCGCAACTCCAGCAAACGCAATTGCTTGGGGTTTTGAAAAGTAGAGGGGCAAATCTGGCATAATGTCGAACTGGTCGTTCTGTTGGGCCCGTCGTCACGATCGTGAAAAGATTGGAAACACCATCATGTGGAACACGTTGTACAACAATGACTTGCAATCTTCGTTGGCGTTGTGTTGCAGTGGCCGGTGGTGTCGGTCTTACTACATGAAGGTCGATTGGCCAAAAGGGGTCCAAAAGATCATTCCATGTTTCCGCAATAATTCTAAGCCATGAAGTGAAATCTTGCCGTAGAGCAACAGTGCGATGTTGTTCGCAGCTGAGATATCTGGGCATGTCAAGGTACCACGTGTCAACTTCCATGACGCGATCCCCTTCTTCTCTGGCAGTATCATCAGCAAAAACATGAGAAATCCAGTGGATGAAGATCTGTTGGATGACTGCAGGTTCTGCTTGAATACCCTGAGGTGCTTCAATTTGAGTGGTGCGGATACTATCCAATGAGTTTTGTTGATATGGCAGTTCTTCTGGAAAGCGTGCTTGGACTTTTCCTGGCACACAATCTGAAAAATGTGGTGGCGCCTCAAGTGGTGGCATCACAACTCGATGTACCTGTAGGAACAGTGCACCTTCTCCTTCAACTTCATCATGCTGATCCCGTAACCTCCGCATTCTGGGAACATGAGGAGGTCCGATCGGTTCATCGAGCCATCCCACACGAAAAAGAGTATGTCGCATGAGGATCTCTTCAATGTTGTGGCCTTGGTGAAATGCTGTTGCCAAGCACCTCGTGGAGATGTGGTCAATTCCTGGACTTCCAGGAGGAACTGCAATGCGTATGTAATCTCCGTCAGAAAGGTACACTCTCGGAGCGCCAAAAGCAATGATCTCTTCGTTGACCCAAATCAAACATCGATTCCTTGACCGAAGACAGAAAGGGTAAAGCCCAAGTCCACGCAGCAACTGCTCACGGCTGACTACATCTGGCAGCAGTCTTGCCCGTCTGACAACTTCAGGCATGACAAGAGGTTGAGCTGCATGGAACTCCACATCGAGCAAAATGAAACATTCTGTAGAACCTACAGGTAGATCATGTTTGCGCTGGGCGATCACAACTCCTGTTTGTGCGCGATTGACATCTTGTGGTGGCACGACAATGGTGTGCAGGTAGAAAAGATCAGCAGGATGTATGGTAAGTGCTCTTGCAACACTCATGTGCATGTCCTGGTAGTCTTTCCAGTTGAGCCATAAAGTACCTGGGCCACCATCAAGCGTGTAAACCAGAGTAGTATACCAATCTTCTTCTAATTGCTCTGAGTCTGGTTGTATAGGAAATGAAGATGCTGACGATACTGATGACACAGGCGAAAGATCATCAGGATCCCTGGCTATATCTCGGTTGTCCAGGATCGCATCTTGTGGCCCCTCACGAGGCAATTCAACTTGATGTCCATCTCTGTATGCAGGCTGCGCTGCGAGAAGTGAAACAAAATCTGAGGCCTCCAGGGTGTAGGAATTCTCATCCTCTGCACCGTGGATCTTTGGAGGTTGAAAACCTTGGCATAGGACTGGCGCTTGTTGGTGTGGAACTCCAATAGAGTGCATCAGCCGTGCCATTTCGAAGTCTTCCTCTGCACCCACATAGAGGTCAACTTCAGGGTGAAAGCGCACCCTGTGTATCGAAGGTTTCTTGACACATTCAACAAGGGTGTAGAGGGACCGCTGCTCTCCCATCCCAACTTCGTGGGCTAAATAAACAGCGTCGATGCTAGCTTCCCAAGGTGATATGTAGTCCTCATCGTCAATGAAACTGTGGTTCCAGATTGTTGTTTGATCATGGAAACACAGTGGGATCGCCGGCCTTGGGCAAACCTCTGAGAAGTCTATTTGCCCGGCCCAGGGAAAGGCGAAAGCGCTCCAGATCCCAAGGCTGATCCATCTTTTCTTGGCTTTTTGGCCGTGTGTGCTTCTTCTTGGATTTCTTCCTCTGGTCGCACTCTGATCTGCTGAAGGCTGTCCATAACAGAATGAATACTCTTCTGGATGGCCTCCGCAGTGTCGACCTTCATGTTGTCCTCGTCCAGCTCCCCGTCGGAAATCACCTCTGTTGCAAGGACTTCTGCATCCTGCTTTGAATGCAGTTCCTTCACCTCGTCGAGATGGGCTCTTGATTCTTGGAGAATCTCTCTCGCTGAGAGAACTTCCTTCTCTAGGGCCGCATCCCTTTTGGCGAAATCTTCTGCGAAAGACTGCCATCTCTTGATGCTCTCTTCCACATAGTTGCTCCAAGCAGTATGCAGCTTCTGCCTGGCCACTGTAGCTGCTTTGAACTTGTCTCTTGCTTGATCGACTTTGCGGACTGCTTGGTGCATGCTCTTCGATGTCACCTGCTTGTTGGTGGATTCCGCAATGATCTCTTGTATCTCCTGAGGAGAGAGAGCTTGGTCCTCCGTCTGAAGCTTGTTGACCAAAGTCTGCAGTTGTTGTGCAGCTGCATTTTGATCTGTGCTTGCTGATGCCGAAGTCGTTGTCGATGGCATAGTTGGCAGCTGCTTCGCATTCCATGGAGGATCGAGGGCAGGTACCAAGTCTTTGTCTTTGTTCTTGCGCCTGTTGGCCCTTGGGGTGGATCCCCTTGTCTTCTTTGCACTGTTTGCTCTCGGCGACTTGCAAACTTTTCTGTGTCCAGTCCATTCCGTGTCGTCTTCTTCCCAACTCGCATAGCTCCACGAGGCTTTTTGCTTTCCTTTGGTGCCGTGGACATAGGAATTGTCGATGCATCGATGCCACATTATGTCGCATCGGCCACATCTGAGCGCATTCATCTTGTTGAGCCTCATGCAGAAGCGGCATCTCCACGGTTCTTTGGTCGACTCCGCCATGATGCTGTTGATCTTGGCGATGAAAGAACTGTCTTTGGAATGATGGCTCCTCAAAACTTTGGCAAGATGTCCCAGGTGTAGATGGTTGAGACAACAAAGTCCCCGTCGATGACAATGCCACCAAAAGCGAGCTGTTGCTCTCTGCCGCCTGGTTCTCCTCCTCTTTGCAGGAGTGATGGTTGCCAAATTGTAGCACGTAGGCAATCTGACAAATGAGGTAGAACTTGACCAAAAAGCCCATATAGTAGCCCTGGAGGCCCAAGATCGTCAGGACAAAGTCAACCGCGAACTTATAGGGAATCAGGAAGTACCAAAGAGGCAATGGCCCACCCAGGAGGTTTTACGTGGCTGGGACCACGGCAGGAAAAGGTGGTACTTGAGTGGCTAGCTCAAGCAGAGCACTGTGATCTCGACCAACCAAAAATCCAGGGTAAAAACCAGTTCAGATAGATGGTGGTGTAGGAAAGGCCAGTGAACCAAAAGTTATGGCCCGGGGGCTGTGAGATCGGAACCCCCTAAGGTAATGGAGACACAAATCGTGGGGCGCTGTCAGCCAAAACCTTTGATTGATATATATATATATATAGTATGCTATATTATGATAATGTTGTTATGATATGGTATATCTTATCTTCACACTATTTCCAACGTGTGCGTTTCGAACCCAAATCACGTTTCGGTGCTGCAAAACGCAGTCGGTCTCACCTCTCCATCGCTGGTGGATTCCAGACAAGTCCTTGATGTGCTGTGCCACCAGTTGAGCCATGGGGAAAAAGTCATCCAAGTTATCCAAGTGATGAGATTTTTGGAGATTTGAGATTTTTGGAACTCCGAAAAGAATCAACAACATGGAGATGCAAGATGATGCAACATCATGTCAAAAATGGGAATATCATGGAATATCACCAAGAAACATTAGGATTGATTGGGATTGTCTTATTGGGCTCCAATAGAGTGGCGCAAAAGAGAGGGATCATCCCCATATCATGGGATCATCCCCCTTGAATCGGTTGATGATATCCCTCACACTGAGAAATCACAGCATCGAAATCAAAAATCATCTTGGAAAGCAAAAATTCCGCATCTCCAATTCCATCATCTTCCATCATTGATCAATTGTGGATTTCCCTGACCCATCACCACCCATCACCCAACACCCAAGGTGGTCTCCCTTGGGTGCCGGGCCAAACCCCGGTGCTACGGCGATGCGCCGCATCTGCTGCATCGTTGGAGCTGCTGCGTCGAGGGAGCATCTCCCTGACGATGCCGATGGGAATGCCCTTGTTTTTCAACCTAAGCAGATAGAAAAAAGTACGATCCATAAACAAAATACTGGTAAACTACCTTTCCATCTTTTTTGGGACCAAAATATACGCGTGTTTGTCCTAAATATAGGGACAACCACTAGTGATTGGCAGCCAAAATCTCAAAAAAACCTTCGTAGCACCGAGCCAAGGCCACCTCTCTGACGCCGGCTTGTCTGCCTGGATCACGTCTGGAGTGCCGAAAATTTCATGGCAACCTATGGCAATCTCGAAAAAAAAAAACATGATGTGGGGATGGGTCAAAACCCTGGTACCCCTGGTGAACATCAAAATAGCTGGGATTTCTGGATGTTCATCCCACTAAAAATGGTACTTATAGGTATTGATCCATAGCCATATCTTAACGGCCATAGCTGGGTGCCATTTCCAGACACAGCCATAGTGGTGGAAAGGTCGACTTCTGCCGAGCTGCTGCGTGAACCATCCTGACACACCAAGATGCGCGGTTCTGCAGTATCTCCGGTGAAGAACATTCCACAAGTCAGGTGACTTCAGAGAAATTTCAAAATCTATGGACTTTTCATAACATCTACCAGCTATTTATTAGCTACTTACCAACCATTTACCAGCCATTTACCAGCTATTTACCATCCATGCCATCAGTTTCCATAACATCTATGCCCTAGTGATACCATGGACTCAAGGCCTCCTTCTTGGTGCCACTTCCACTGGCAGCTCCATTGGGTTCGGCCTGCCACATGACCAGATTTCTTCGGCCAGGGATCGGTTTTTCAGACATTTCCAGGGGAAAAAGGGAACTTACACCATTCGTAAGAATAGCTGGATGCTTGATGTTCATTCTATAGCTGGTTAATAGCTGGTAACATTGTGTTTGGATGTTTTGAAGCATCCAAATATCTTATGGGGCAATGCTTTTAGAATCAAGGTCATTGAAATCTGACCAACAAGAATGGTATGTCTGTCCCAAAATTCGTCCCAAAAAAAGTCATTTGCCAATAGGATGTGTCGCGGCCTATTGGAATGGGATGTGTCGCGCTTTCCCATCATTGAATCCCTTGAAATTGGGTTGGACATGTTAGAAAAATTGTGATTTTTTTTCGATATCTCATAAGGACAACATAGTCATAGTGATGAGGATGAAGATGAGGATGAAAATGAGGAGGATGTTGAGGTTGTTGATGATATTGATATTCATATTCATATTGATGATGATGATGATGATGATGATGATGATGATGATGATCAGGATGATGATGATGATGATCAGGATGATGATGATGATGATGATGATCAGGATGATGATGATGATCAGGATGATGATGATCAGGATGATGATGATGATCAGGATGATCAGGATGATCAGGATGATCAGGATGATCAGGATGATCAGGATGATCAGGATGATCAGGATAAGACTATCTGTATCATATTCTATCCGAATCAAAAGCTATTGCCATTTTTTACCAATAATGGATGCATCACAATGACCGCCATTCAGTTGCCAAGGCACCCATGGTGCAGCTGCTCACTACGATCCGTGAAGTGTTTCACCCTTTTCACGGCTTGGGACCAAGCCTGCAGTGGGGTTCGCAATTCAATGGAGAAATGGGATTTACATGGATTTACACTGAGGTAACTTAAGGTAGTTATGGAAAATCACTGTTTTCAACTGGTAAATTATGGTAAATTATGGTAAATTACCATAGATCATCTATAAATCAGGCATTTTCTATAGCTATGTTGCATACCCAGAGGGTAACCAAGTACTCGCTGGAGATATGGGACATGATAGACCAACATGATCTACTGCCAAGATTGGATAAGTAGCCTCTGGCCATCTAAAGTCTAAAGATTGGAAAAGGCTACAGAATCCATGCAGTTGCTGATCCAGTTGAAAGCCTATCAGATTATCAAAAACGCCAATCAAAGACATGTTCCATCACGATCATCACTGACCACAGAAAAAAGAAGTGCAGCAACATTCACGGGAAACCGATTTCCATCAGATTCCATCAGACCCAAACCTCAGGTTTCCCCCTTGGTGATGCTGCTTGTAGATCTGGCCCATTCAAATCCTGCAGGGCCGCGGCCGTTTTGGCGGTGAAACCGAAACCATCCAGCTCCTAAAAAGGTCCTGGTCCTGGAGAATCGACGTTGGCGCTTGTGGCCTCGCTATTGATCAAAGGCCAGCAGTGTTTTCAGGCTGCTAATCATGACACAACTATTGATATTCTTCTTCTTCTTCATCATCATCATCATCACTGGTTGGTGGTATACCTACCCCTCTGAAAAATATGAAAGTCACTTGGGACCATTATTCAATATATATTCCCAATATATATATGTGGAAAAATGATCCAAATGTTCCAAACCACCAACCAGATCCTCATGATATCGTCGCAAGTCTCAATAAACAAAGACTGTAAACTGAGCTCCCCGCTGCAGTCGCTTTGGACTGCGTGGCGCCTCCTCTACCACTTTGGGTGCCGCGGTCTTGCGCCTACCAGGGCAACCGGCTGCCATAAACCTACCATAAACGAAGGGTTGAAATCCCAGATGATGGAATGGGCATGAATAAAAATGGCACTGAGTTTACCACAGATGCAATGAATCAAACTATTATGGTATGGTTTTGGATGGTTTTGGAAGCAGGACCTCATCTTTTTCCGCTGGTTGATCCATTGATCCAAAATCCTCCCTGAGGTCACCCGGCTCGACGCTGAGCCGCCTTCTTCCATGGTCGAAATATGTGGCCAAATTCTCCCCTGTGGATTGTCTGCATAGCCTCAGTACAGTACGTTCAGAACGGATTCAGAAGAAGCAGCCAGAAGAAGCAGCCAGAAGATTATTGAAGAAATTGAAGTAATGAAATTCCTTGGTCATCAAAATAAGTTCATGGGCAAAAAAAGGGGCTTGTTTTTTTGCAGATGCTGCCAGAAAGTGCTGCCGGGAAACCCCTTGGACAGCAAGGATCCTGCGCTGGGCACCTGTAGAGCGATGGATCCATCGCAGTCTCGGAGCCACTCGGAGTCACTCGGAGCTACCCATGGAACACATCTGGTTATGACTACCATAGCCATGGAAAATCCCCAAAATCAATGGAGCTTTAGTTCGCTGGGGAAATCATCTATAAATCTATTTCGATTAGGGCCATCCATACCATGGCTATGTAACAAATAACCAGAGGGTAATACATCTGGAAAAACATCTGTAAACAGTAGGATCATGAGGAACCATAAGTATTGAAGTGCTCGTCTTGATGTCCATTTTGCCATATGCCCACAGCACAGTTGCGCTGCCTGCGCTGCTGGTGCACCAGGTCGACTTTGTAAATATCTCACCTTCCCTGGTTGATACATCCAGCTAAAAAGCTGCGCCCCTCGAATCCAATAGATTCAATAGAGCAAATTCGAAAAGGCTAAGTTTGGGGATGGAAATCCAAATAGCTGATGCCACTGATGCCTGATAAATAAGTGGATTGGCGTTTCTTGCAAATGACATGACCCCGGACACACGTTAGGTTCACATGGATTGCCTAAAAAAGAACATGACTGTGAACCTTTTGTATTTCTAGGTGATCATAGAAATAATGAATTATGATTACAAAAAACAACAACAGGACCAATATGTAACAATCATAGTAGTAACATTCATATATGATAAGATAGATCACATGGCTTACTTAATGCTACGATAATCTAATCCTCCTGAAATCTGCTGCCGATCCAAAATCGCCCAACCTGCATGGCGACCGCCGGTGCTTTGCCGGACGGCAGCCCTGCAGGGACACCGGCACCATAGGCAGCTCGACCTGGTTGTTTTCTGGTCGCCATGAGGTGGGAATATCCAAACATCGGCGATCATACACAGAAAAAAAATATCATATAATGTCAAATGCACAAACCATCATACATCTGTTACCCTATGTGTTTTTTGTACATCGTGGTAACAGATCATACCGGGAGCATAGATTGATGGCCAAAGATTTGGCGATCTCCATGTAGAAAGATTTTTTGGATTCTTCCAGCCTGGGTCAATGGATTGCGAGGTCCTGAAAATGGAGACATCACCAACATCACCAAGAAATATGTTTGGGGTGTGTCTGAAAATATTGGGAAAACATCCACTAAATCCATGAATCAATCATCATGATCCCCCCAAGATATGTTAAAATGACCATAAATAAGGGGGATTAAGGGGGTATATATCCCATTTTCAAACACACCCATGTTTACAAAGCGATACTGTCGCAGCAAGAATCCGGATAAAAAAACACAGTTGCATGGAAATTGTGGAAAGTGACGCTTTCCAAAGTTGCACCAAAAGTCACGAACTGACAAGAAGCAAAAACGAATTCATGCTGTTCGGAAAAGTCTCCCATGAAACGTATGGGTATGGGCATGGTCATAAATTGGGTACCCCAATAATAATTGGATAGTTAATACAGTACTAAAAATACACAATTCGATCTGTGGACCCCCAGGTCTTTAACTTTGACCCATGAAACATATGGAACACATTGGAACACTGCGCAACACGTTCCACCTTCGTTCAGGAACATTTTTCGGTCCTAACTCCGAAGGGTTGAGTCAAGGGAGGAGTCACCTTAGAGCGGTCCAGGAACTGATGACTTCCCTGATATGTCTGAAATATTCTGAAATGGGCCATTCAAAAAGTAGCCATTTGAAGGGAAGAATAAGGAGAAAACATGGGAGTTTGTTTGGTACCCTATTTTCAGACACATACAGTCACATACAAACTTGTCAGAAACGACTAAGTTGCAAACCACGAACCGTTGGGCCGGTACCTGATACTCAACGCATCGAAATTTCATGGCACTTGCGCCAGTTTTCTTCACTTCGTTAAAGTGGCTTCGGAGTTGCTGAGGCTTCCACGTATGCAACTGTTGGCTGCAGTCCTGGAAAAAAAGAGGACTGTTTGGCATTTTGTGCACCTTTATAGTGGTTGGTTACGAACAGGATTCCCATCATGGATTGTGATGATTGTGATGCTCCCCAATATGTGGGATATTGTCACATAGTACAACCCCCTACAATCATCAACCAACAGAACCAACGGTTTTGCAGCCACTGCTCCTGTTCCATGTAGAACATGAACGCTGACAGGACCGAGGCCATTCACATTGACGTGCGGAGCCTGCGGAGTCCGGCAGCTGGTGAGTTCTGGGCCCCATCTCACCATTTTGTTGGTCCAATTCCGCCTGTGCAACCTGAGAAGCCATGGTGCAATGCTGCGCTACAGTGCCGCTACACCGCAACACCGCAACTCGAATCCTGTGAGCCAAAAATGGTATGCCAAGGCGTGTAACGAAACCAAGACATACCTGTCTTGAAACTTGACAAAATGGTGTCCACATTGCAGCGCGTTCTTCACAGAAAGGTTGCAAGACACATCACATGTCAGTCTCAAGTACAATCAAACAGTGACCTTCAAAATCCTTCAAGTATCTCGTCTAATATTGTCTTCAGAGAGCCATGACATACTCTGACTGCGTCTCCATTGTCGCAAATGTCCGGATCTCTGTCACAGGCTGCCTAGATCATAAATTCAAACGATCCAACACCCTAATGGCAAAGTGTTCAAAAGCAGGTGAGTCGTGAAGATCTTTACATGGCCTCATGGTATCTCCAGTTGTGGTGCACAGAGTTGGCCCTGATTTTTACACCACACTTTGCGGACGCTTCGCAAATCTGTTGCAAACACTTCCCCTCCATAAATCATGAACGTTGACCAGTGAAATGGATATTTGGCCACCACAACTTTAAAAAAAACATGGGGAAAACTGGATTGGGCCACTATCGGAATCTCTCACATCGGAATCAGCCTGGTGCCTCAAGGATTTGGTGAACTTGGCAAGTTCACTATCGAGTGCAAATTCCCCATGTCACCGGGCTGAAGAAGCTTGTAAATTTCCCGAAAATTTGCAGCTGCACGATCAGCAAGAACGTCATCAATAATTCCACCACATTTGAAAATTTCATTCCTTCAGCATCGCCGGAGAAAACATGTGGCCTTTCCCGGCCTTCAAAATTGGATCTGGTTCAAATTGACTGCCAAGCATGCCACCTGAAACACAGCAAATTGACCATGGCCGATGAAGCGAAGCACGCAACGAAACACAACATTCAGAATGTTGTTTGACAAAGTATCATAAATTTGCCAAAACATAACTTAAACATACCATAAAGGGGTAAAACGTACACATACCATAAACATCAAGTCTGCATCACTGTCAAATGCAGTCACACAAGTATTCTGTTTGGCAAAGAGAACGCAGGGCAGCGCCTTTTTGTCATTCACATCTGAGCCACTGTTGCGGTCAGTAGCCATGCGTGTCATCCTTGTGCAGTGGCCATGTAAATCGGTCATGCACACACTGAAACTGTTTTACACCCCGCCTCAGATTTGCTTTGAATGCGGAAAAGAAAATCTGTACATCACCAATGTTCAACGATGCCTATGCGGGAAGTAGTCTTGATTCACAAACCATGGTTCACAGAAGCTACCCCAAGTTTCCTGATGTTTCTTATGGATAACTATGTCATTGAACACTGCGTATTCATACTGGTCCTGTCTGTTCCACCATAGTGGAAAATCATAGGTGAGATCGGGTTGCCCCGGGAACAACACCATCAGGTGGCAGAGGATAAACTCCTTCAACTTTTGCAAACAGCAAAGTTACACGGTGGGGCGTATTGGGCTCAAAAACACAGGTGGTGACAACACAGTACTGTTGACTCGGTCACCTCACTTTTTCCTCGAGTAGCACGGAGGTGCTAAAAGGGGCTGCGGTCACGTCAAGTGTCTTACATGACATGCCATCTCTACTCCTAGCTAGCTACTTAGGTCAAAACTAGGTGTTTTACCCCTAGCAAGTTGCCACCCTCCTTAGAGTGGACTTGTCGGAGTGAGACGCTACTAGTGAGACGTCCCTACATCCCCAGGAACCGGTCTTCAGCCCGTCTCCATTCTTCGAATTCTGCTGGAGACATATGGGCGAACGGGTCGCTCCGCTCGATGCTGGCTGCATCGGCTTCGCTCTCCGGTTCCCGGGTTGGCGGATCTACCCGCTCAGGCGGTGCTGCCCGCTGTTCAGCGGTGCTGCCCGCACTGGCTGGTGCCGCCTCGGACTCACTTGACTCAGAGTGCGGAAAAATCAAACCCAAGTTGGTTCAAAAATCCTTGCTACGTAAATCCCAGGACCTACACCTAGATGCAGTTCCTACAACCTACGCACAGCGAAGTTTACGCAAACGCGGTTCCCACACACAAGCTCTCAGGTTCGGAACAGCTCAACCCTTTTGGACGCTCTCTCAGAGGTGCTGTAGCAAAACACGAACCAAAGCAAAAACAAGCAAGACAAGCTGGACTAAACCACGTGACTGTCTCAGACTACTTCTTTGCAGTTTCCTTGGCTTTGAGCCAAAAGCAACCATACAGCTTGACTGCAACAATTGTTTAAACGTTCAAGATCCGAAGATCTTTCTCTTAAAAGCTTTCTTCCACTAACCATAGACAGGCAACATCGACACTGCGGTCGCTGATGTCCCCCTCAGACGACCGGCAACCCATTTTGTCATCTCACCATGATGACGGGTGCTCGGTCTGTTGTCATCATTGAGGGACATCGGCAACCACCGTCTCGATGTTAACCTGTCAACCAACAAAAACTCCAACCACAAGTCGACTATTCACAGTTACACACATAGCTACTAACAAGCAGCCACTCTAAACTCAGTTTAGTCCAAAGTTCAAAGTTCAAATTGGTTCACCACAGTCCGGAAACTTTCTATGAAAGTTTCCCATAAAAGTAAAGTTCACAGAACGCAACTTTCGCTGAAAAATTCTGTGGGTTTCTGGAAACTCCATTCCAGGTTCTTTGAATTCATAAACACTTTCTATGCATACGATTCCACTTGCATTCAAATGTTCACATTCTTGAGTTACTTCAAATGCACTCATGCATTCAAACGTCCTCAATTCAGATTGATTCCAAATGCATGCAATCGTTCACAGCTCAATCCTGAACTCCTCAATGTCATCAAGACATTTCCGAAAAGTGCTCCAGGCTTCGCATCTATTTACAAATATTCATGGTTACCATAAAGCAGATCCCAATAGATACCAGTCTCACAGCATCCACGAATGTTATATCAATGCAATATCCAAACACAATTCTGAACACTAAGATGACACTACCTCAATTGGCCGGACCAATTGATGTAGTCTCACCCGAGCATTCTTCCGGTGACCGGAGTCACGAATTCCAAATTGCTTCCTCAAAGAATGCCAGCATTGAATTCATTCTCCAAAGCAGAATACGCACGCCCCACCAATGCAGAACTCGCACACTGTACCACTTCAGCTCGTTCATCCAAATATGCACAAAGCCAGAAGCTTTCCTCGCTCACCAGCCAAAAATACCGGATATTTCCACACCCCCTTTCGAGGGAAGCTTCGTCCATCCATGGCGTCGTTCGAACGGATACCCATACAGAGCTAAAACTGTTTCAACCCCCTACCAGCACCCCTAAGAAGATCCGCCAGGATCAACATTTCCTTACCCTCAAGTTAGCATGGTTACGCGTCGCGTGACTTCAACTGAAATTCAAAACAGTCCAAACAAGGTCCTAAAAGCGTGGCATTCTTAGGCCTCCTCTGTACATGTATACATCCCGGGAGGTGATACTTAGCTCCCGTGTGAAACACAGCAAGGTCACACGCAAAAGGTCAGAAGCTCTTCCATTCGGAAGACTTCCAAACAGGTGGAAACGCAACACTTCATCTAGCTAGATCCAAAAAAATTCATTGCTACCCTCTTAGATTACTCGCAACAAACAACGCGTCCATTGTCTGTCCCGACAGCTGTTTTGTTTGAATTGTTCGATCTGTCTCATCCTCTCTGACTCTCTGTGACATGACTGCAACAAAACATCAACTGCTGTACACGCACCTACGTGTGTGTTTCAGTGCACTCTCCTCGCTCGCGCACATGCGTACGCCGCGTTACACAACGCTAGCGCCAGTGACTTGTTATACTTACCAGTCTCGTTCCAGTTCACGTCATTCAGCTGCGCATGTTCCTTGCACCTGCATGCCTGGAAACGCCTCAACGGTTTGACAAACTCCTCCGAGTCGCACACAAACCTCAGCCTCTTTCCTACAGGTTTACCTGAGCGCGATGCGTACCCAAGTTTGCACAACCTCACAACTGCTTCCTGTTTGAGACCCAGTTCATTCAACAAGTCCTTGACACCTGTATATGACCACAACACATTGTTCACTGGCCATTCCAAGCTGAACGTATCAGCTTTCTTGCGGTACGACGGCAACCTTTTAAGAAGGGGTTCAAGTTCAGCGAACCGGATATCCTCAGAACCTGCATCCTGGCGCAAGTACCTTATTGGAGACCCAGACGCGCACGGACAGCTTGCATGAAAGTGCACGTGCGGACGCATCCCAAGAGCCGACGCATTAGTGCACAAGCGTTCCACTCGTTCCAGCACGCTTCGCAAAGTCGATGCTTCTTCCCCATCAGCGGTTACTCCAATGTACGCAAACGCTGTGTTGTGTTGTGACAGTGCACTCTGTTCATCACAGCAAAACTCAACAAAAATCAATGCAATCGTTTTGTCACGAGGTTTCAGTGTATGCAAAGGTTTGTCAGACCCTTTCAAACCCTGAGACCCTTCGGTTGTTGCTGGGCTTCTCGGCTGAAATCCACAAGTCGCTCTATGAACAAAGTGGTAACTTGAACACTTAGTTAGGATATCTGACAGGTTTATAGGCCCTTCAATCCAACCAAGCTGAATATACCTCTCTAATTGTTCACGCAACCAAAAAATTCTCACTTCCGTATGCCTTGACTTGCGTGGAACATCAAGTGCTGAAAGCAACTGCTTAGCCGACTCGGAGTCGGTGAGCATCAAAATAGGAAACTTCCTACCTTCAAATCCAGCCAAGTTCCCAAAAAAATCATTCACCATCTTTCTCACTAACGGTAAGAGACCCATGGCCTCCTGTGCCGTTTCCTGGATTGCAAACATCTCGGATTCGCAGCTTGACAGTGATGTGCACGTCGGATGACGTGAGAAACCTTTCACCAGTGAAGATAACACGAAAATGAAAGCTCCAGAAATTCCCTTTCTCTGAGTCGCCCTCATAGGTGCATGTGACGCGTTACAGAACACCACCATTAATGGTTCTCCGGACAACTCAACAGAATCCTGAAACAAAGATTTCACATTCCCAGGAGATGGAAAAGAT